TAATATTGCCCCTTTATGACTTTTTAGGCCTAAAATTTAGATTTTCAAATTTTAGACATTTTTAAACTTTTTAAGACCCTGCATGAACCCTGTTTAAAATAAGTTTAATCCTAAAAGTTTCACAGTGAATCAAGCAACACACTATAACCTTGTAGCTGTCAATTTCACATTAAATGTTTYTTTAAATAAAAATATTTAGACATTCTTGCTTGAAGTGCTCTGAGTTGCAATGAAAGTACTACAGCTAGCCATAGCTGTCACTATTTATTTATCAATAACCCCAGAAAGGTGTGGAAAACAATGGTGGTATACACAAAAATTATGACAACATGAAAGGTTATAAAATAGCATTGGCATTGAAGTGCCTGTGACATGCATATTCTTCAAATACAAAAAGTCAAAGAAAACATCTTTATATTTAAGAAAGTTGGAATAATACACATGATTTAACCCATTTTGTCCCATAACTGGTATATTTTCTTTTGAACTTGGCTGAGCCAAAGTAAAACAGGAAGTGACATCAAAGGGGAACTCTTTGACAAAGAAAACTCTCTGGTCTTTTTTATTGAAACAATATTATTTGAACTATGACTCTTCATCTCTCTCTGATAGTGACTCAAAATAATCTTAAGAAACATCAGATTCTTCTCTACTTTCTGTGTTGTTGGCTGTTGTAGCAACGCTCTGTTCACATGCAGACATCCCCCTTTGACATCACTTCCTGTTACTTCACAGGCAAATATCTCAACTACTGTTCGTCTCAGCGACATGAAATTTATTTTCCAATATTTTATCAATGTCCTCTTTCTAAAAACACATTCATATGTATTACAAAAATTTGARATCACAGGCACTTTAACTGCAATGACATTTCTCAGATTGGAGTTAGTTTTAAGACTGTAGTGGTCCACACTCTGCCTCTGATCAGAACTAAACTTTATTTCTCCAAACTGAGGTCCTTCAAAGAGGTACAACATTAAGATATTAATTGTTTCCAACCCTTTGCAACTTAGAAAAATAACAGTTTTAAATTGACTCTTCAGACATTGATTCTCAAACACCTTTTAACTGAAAACAAGCCAAACTGCAGATGATAGGCTGAAGGATGATGCACCTCTCAGGTCCTGTGTCTTTGCAGAACTTTTTTCCTGTTCTATAAAGACATGACTTCAAAACACTGTTCATCTACTAGAAATAGCTGCTTTAGGGCCAACGCCTCACTGCACATGCACAACAAACAGTGAGGTATGAGAACCGAAAATGAGCAAAAAGCAGCCAAAGCCCCCAAAAAACTTTCAGAATGCTTAAAGAAAAAAATTGATGGAGACCACCTTAAAAGATCACAAAAAAATCTGACTCTTTGGAAGCAAAAGAGGATAAAATAGGAGTGGTTTAGAAAAAAATTCTGCAGAGCTGTGTATATAACATGTCCATGTCACTTAAAGAATAATGTACAGTATGAGATGCTTGCAATATTTATGAAATGTGACACTGCAGAGTACATGAAGTGAAGTTTAATAAAGTCAGAGTTTTCTGACCACTTCGCATAGACTCCAGTTCAACATGAAGTGAATGATAGAGGATGTAATGTATTTCTTGTTTTTGTTGCCTGCAGTGTACTGTGCTTATGTCAAAAATTATGGCCTGGGATAGAAGAAATTAGAAAAATATTATGTCTTGAACAGATGACACAAAGAGAGTAAACTTAATAAAACTAACAGCGAAGGAGCTTATTAGCAGTCAACACTCTTGAAAATCTCCATTCAGTTTAATTGTATTAACTGAAGCCTCCATTCAGCCTCTTTGTGTGTTTAACACAGAGGAGTCTGCAGCATGACATTAAGTCACAATAAAGTGCAGCACTGAACTATATGCACTATTTTTACTTGTTCATTTCACTCACATTTTGTATAAAAATGAATTGAGTTCTCATTTGGAGAATAAGATGACATTTTCTGAGTAAGGAGATGAACATATGTTTGAAAGGGGCTTACGCTGACTGCCATCAGACACTTTTATTTGGTTAATAGCAAAAATATTTGCTCTCACCATCCAAAGACAGCCAGTCATGCTGGGAAGATGGCAGAGCRGGAAGGTCGCGTGCCTTGTACTCAAATACAACAGAAGAAGAGATGACCTCACCACCCATGGCCACRTGTAGCATCACTAGTCCTGTGTCGTGGGCTGGAAAAGACAGACGTCAGGTGATGAATGTGTGCTGAAATGGGGTTGTGCGCACTACGTTAATCTCTTGGCAAAGTTAGAGGTCACAAAATAATTTTAGAAAACGATCTGAACACATGATATACTAGAAATATTGTGTTACTTTGCAGCTCTTCCAGATCACACAGGATGGGACACAAATTAAATCTTCTGACCAAAARTATACTTTGTTTCATTAGAGAGTTAAGAAATCCCAAATCAGTGAATAGTTAAATTAATTTTTGCAATCTATTCTAAATTTGCTGACCTTTAAATAAAAAGGGAACTATGTCCAAATTATATTTTGCACAGAGGTGGAGCCAGAGGAMTAGCCAGGGTGACATGTGCCACCCCTGGCACCTGATCGGCCACCCCTGATGTCTAAGCCCAAATGATTGACAAGTGGGGTGGTGTTTCCATGTGGCATTTCAACGATGGGAATTTAATGAGAAATGTATTTTACTAGCTGGTGTAGCTTTCAGAATGTCATGRGGATTGCTCATGGATACCAGTTGGAGCCATTTGAAATTAGTTTCTGCAACCATCTTGGATTTTGTAATTGAAATCAGATTTTGTAAAAGATTGTTTCTCGGCTACTACTATGCACATTTTGAGATGTGTTGTTTAAAAATGACTAGATTATAGCCCTTTGTTAAATTAGRATTAGCAGTTATCTTAGTTGGYACTAAATCAGAGCCATTTAAGTTGTGRTGTTGTGTTGTGTTGTTTCAGTTGTGAAGGTCATCTTGAATTTTCAAATCCAAAGTAGTTTTATGTGCCCCCTAAAAACACTTTGGCCACCCCTGTGCCACCCCATGCAAAAGCGTCTAGCTCCACCCCTGGTTTTGCACCTTGTTAATCCACAGTTTTCAGTAATTGTTGCATTTTGCTGTAGCTCCTGTACCAGGGCCGGTTCTAGGAATGCATAATTGAGGGGCAGACGGAAATATTAAGGGGGTGTCATGCATACATTGTGCTCCATTACATTTGTTGTTGTTGTTGTCGTTGTTGTTGTTGTTGTTATTTAGTATTTTCTTCATAGGATTGGGTTTTTACTGTCTGCTGTGTCCTACTTCCAAGAAATGGATTGAGCTTCCATAAGATCTGTCCAGCTGGGTGTCCCACCTGAAGACTGTTATGCTGGTGTAGCACTTAGTCACTGAGGCATTTACCTTATTGGATTACCATTAGGRATTTATGCATCTCAGATAAATTAGAACCATAGAGAGCAACATACCTGGTGAATAAAGCTGATTCTGATTATAGGCCTATAAGACACTAGAGTGAGTTCTGCCTGTCCACTCATTGGGCCTCATGCAAGAACATGTTCGTATTCTTATCCTAAATTTCTCTTACTTTTGTTCGTACAAAGGGTTC